GTGTTCCCTTGATTATTTTTTCTTTTCTTGCACTTAAAAAAAAGTTTTCAGGCTGGGCAGTGGTGGTGCACGCCTTTAATCCCAGCACTAGGGAGGCAGAGGCAAGCAGATCTCCATGAGTTCAAGGCCAGCCTGGTCTGCAAGAGCTAGTTCCAGGACAGGCACCAAAAACTACAGAGAAACCCTGTCTCGAAAAAAAAAAAAAAATTCAGGGGCTGCAGGATGGCTCAGCAGAGGACCTAAGTTTGATTCCCAGCATCCATATCAGGTGGCTCCTAACCACATGTAACTCCAACTCCAGGAGATCTAACACTATCTAACACCTTCTTCTGAACTTCAGACATCTGCACTTATGTGCACATACAAGCTTTCAAAAAATATTTGTGTCTATATAAACAGGTGTGCATGTGTGTGTGTGTCAGTGCAGGTGCATTGCCACAGTGTGTGCATGTGTCTATATAAACAGGTGTGCATGTGTGTGTGTCAGTGCAGGTGCACGCCTGCCACAGTGTGTGCATGTGTCTATATAAACAGGTGTGCATGCGTGTGTGTCAGTGCAGGTGCACGCCTGCCACAGTGTGTGCATGTGTCTATATAAACAGGTGTGTGTGTGTGTGTCAGTGCAGGTGCACGCCTGCCACAGTGTGTGCATGTGTCTATATAAACAGGTGTGCATGTGTGTGTCAGTGCAGGTGCATTGCCACAGTGTGTGCATGTGTCTGTATAAACAGGTGTGCATGTGTGTGTGTGTCAGTGCAGGTGCACGCCTGCCACAGTGTGTGCATGTGTCTATATAAACAGGTGTGCATGTGTGTGTGTCAGTGCAGGTGCACGCCTGCCACAGTGTGTGCATGTGTCTATATAAACAGGTGTGCATGTGTGTGTGTCAGTGCAGGTGCATTGCCACAGTGTGTGCATGTGTCTGTATAAACAGGTGTGCATGTGTGTGTGTCAGTGCAGATGCATTGCCACAGTGTGTGCATGTGTCTATATAAACAGGTGTGCATGTGTGTGTGTGTGTGTGTCAGTGCAGGTGCACGCCTGCCACAGTGTGTGCGTGTGTCTATATAAACAGGTGTGCATGTGTGTGTGTCAGTGCAGGTGCACGCCTGCCACAGTGTGTGCATGTGTCTATATAAACAGGTGTGTGTGTGTGTGTGTCAGTGCAGGTGCATTGCCACAGTGTGTGCATGTGTCTGTATAAACAGGTGTGCATGTGTGTGTGTCAGTGCAGGTGCACGCCTGCCACAGTGTGTGCATGTGTCTATATAAACAGGTGTGCATGTGTGTGTGTCAGTGCAGGTGCATTGCCACAGTGTGTGCATGTGTCTGTATAAACAGGTGTGCATGTGTGTGTGTCAGTGCAGGTGCATTGCCACAGTGTGTGCATGTGTCTGTATAAACAGGTGTGCATGTGTGTGTGTGTGTGTCAGTGCAGGTGCACGCCTGCCACAGTGTGTGCGTGTGTCTATATAAACAGGTGTGCATGTGTGTGTGTCAGTGCAGGTGCACGCCTGCCACAGTGTGTGCATGTGTCTATATAAACAGGTGTGTGTGTGTGTGTGTGTCAGTGCAGGTGCATTGCCACAGTGTGTGCATGTGTCTGTATAAACAGGTGTGCATGTGTGTGTGTCAGTGCAGGTGCACGCCTGCCACAGTGTGTGCATGTGTCTATATAAACAGGTGTGCATGTGTGTGTGTGTCAGTGCAGGTGCACGCCTGCCACAGTGTGTGCATGTGTCTGTATAAACAGGTGTGCATGTGTGTGTGTCAGTGCAGGTGCACGCCTGCCACTGTGTGTGCATGTGTCTGTATAAACAGGTGTGTGTGTGTGTGTGTGTGTGTGTCAGTGCAGGTGCACGCCTGCCACTGTGTGTGCATGTGTCTATATAAACAGGTATGCATGTGTGTGTGTCAGTGCAGGTGCATTGCCACAGTGTGTGTATGTGTCTGTATAAACAGGTGTGCATGTGTGTGTGTCAGTGCAGGTGCATTGCCACAGTGTGTGCATGTGTCTATATAAACAGGTGTGCATGTGTGTGTGTCAGTGCAGGTGCATTGCCACAGTGTGTGCATGTGTCTATATAAACAGGTGTGCGTGTGTGTGTCAATGCAGGTGCACGCCTGCCACAGTGTGCATGTGTGGACTGTGTGAACTATGTGACATGACTTCATGTGTCAGCTCTCACCTTGTTCACTCCCCTGGGAGAATGGAGCCAATAAACGAGGCAGACTAAAGTCCCATGCAATAACCAACTTTATTCAGAAGTACTGCTGTCCAGGGGGGCAGCCTCCAGCAGCATAGGGCTTTGAAAGGAATCCAACAGAGGTGGCATAAACTAGACTCTTCTATCTGAAGGCATTATAAGAAAATAAACACACACTCTCTTGATGGCTTCCTTCTTTATTCTCTTGTCTCTCGTGTTTTTCTACAGCTTTTATTCCCCAACAGAGTCTTCCAGGCAGTACAAGAGTCAGAAATATTGCGTTCCATTTCTCAAGTGAATGATTACAGGTAACAGCATATTTTTCATTCCCCTTAGAGGATGAAAAACAGAGCCGTCCCAGTGACCCCCGTGCAGCACACCTAGAGCATGAGCGAGCAAGAGGCTTTGTTCTCAGTCAGCTCTTGCGTTGCGGCCTGCAAACTGCGGTTACAAAGAAAGTCACTCACTTCATGATGAAAGGGAGTCACAGACCTAAACTTTTATACCTAAAAAACAGTCAGTCAGCTGAAGTTTTAGTCCTTGGGATGCACACCCATTTATCAGTAACAAAAGGTCGAGTCAGGAATTGGTGAAAGAAATTAATCATCTTGCAGACAAATGGATGGAGCTAGAAAACATATTGAGGGAGGTAACCCAGACCCAGAAAGACAATTATCACATGTACTCACTTATAAGTGGTTTTTAAACATAAAGCAAAGAAAACCAGCCCACAAGTCACAATCCCAGAGAACCTAGACAACAATGAGGACCCTAAGAGAGACATGCATGGATCTAAATCTCCATGGGAAGTAGAAAAAGACAAGATCTCCTGAGCAAATTGGGAGCATGGGGACCATGGGAGAGAGTTGAGGGGAGGGGAGCAGAGAAAAATGTATAGCTCAATAAAATAAAAAAAAAAACTTAAAAAAAAGAAATGAATTCTCACCTTTGATTATTAACCAGACCTCGCAAGGGCAGCCAGCAACAATCAGGCCATTTTGTATTTTTGACCCTAGCCTAATGAGTCAGACAGCTCAGCCATGTGTCCTTGTGAACTCCAGCTTGTTTTCCAGGGTTATTTATCTTAAAATTATTAGCAAGGCGTCTGCTCTAACCTGAAGTTATTTGGAGCTTTGTCTTAGCTAATGGACTTCCTATTTTCAGCATTAAGAGAATTAGAGCCAGCCTGGCTCCTGGACTCTGGTGCTGTCCTAATCACTAACCCGAGCTGCTCCTGAGGTGGAGCTCACGGCCTTAGCTGTGAACCGCATCCTTATACTTCTTCTTAGGCATCAAAACTCTGAATAGGCTCTCATTATTACCAAATTAATACTGCTTATGGAGGGGTCATCTTGACAGCCCACAGGTAAAGATACCCGGTAGAATGGGTTGTTTCCAAGAGATAAACACATCGTCTTACAGCAATGGAAATCTCCCTGCGTCCACTCGCACCATGCTTGATACCAGAGGAAGAGAGCTGCAGCATACACGGAAAGGAAAGGCGCAGCAGAAACAGAAGGCACTGGGGATCTGCAGTCCCTCCCGTGGCCTTGCCTAAATGGGATCGGCCCGGAGAGGATTCCCTTCTGCTGGGCTGACACCTGGAACCTCAGTTACCCCTTGCTGCTCCTCCGGCGCGGCCACCAGCAAGAGCGTCGGGCAATTTACACACTGAAGGTTAACAGGAGACACATGAGTAACGCTACAATCACAAAGGCACGTGGCAGACAGGCTGCACATGGCAAATCATATTTTCCATAGAGGCACATAAACACATAACAGTAGCCAGTTGTGAGTAAATTCGCTCCTATCTGCTACACCTGGGAGGGGCGTAAAAGCACATTCCAAAAACAGTTTTGAAGAACTGAGGTCCCAAGACTCTTATTTTCTTGGAGTTTTCTCACGAGCACTCAGGGTTTCTTCTTAGATGCACTCCTCATCCAGTTGCGTTCTTGGACCGTGTTCTGCCCCTCGCTTTTCCCCCGTGTTTGAGTTTTAGTCTCTCTTGTCCCCGCTGCATATACTAGGAGAACTGGCCCACAAGCATACCAGAATTCTCCCGTCTCTGCGTCCCATCCTGTCACAGGAATGATTGGTTTACAAACGAATGCTATTAGTCCAGCTTTTACACGGGTTCTGAGCATCTGGACTCGGGTCCTCAAGCTTGCAGGGCAAATGCTTTACCCACTGTTCCATCTCCCAAACCAAAATTTTCTGTGTATGTACTTCTTATTTGGGTTTTTGCTTATTTGTTTTTGAGACAGGAACTCATCTTGGAGGGGGGGAGGTGAGACAGGGTCTCTCTACGTAGTCCGGGCTGTCCTGGAACTCACTGTGCAGACCAGGCTGGCCTTGACCTCAGTGACGTCTGCCTATCTCTGTCTCTGCCACTGAGTACTGGGGTTAAAGGTGTTTGCCACCACAACTGGCACATTTGAACTTCTGATTCTCCTGCCTGTGCCTCTGTGTGCTGGGATTCCAGATGTGAACCGTCACATCTAGTTTTGTGTGGTTCTGTGGATTGAATGCAGGATTTCTTGCATGTTCTGGAAGCCTCTACAGCTGCATCCCACCTTTGTCCCCTTCACGTTGTTTTAGATTCTGCATTTGGCAATCAGTTGCATATTCTGATCCCGGGAACCCAGCAACCCATTCTCCTCCTTGGGATCCAGGTTCCCTTCTCCTCCACATTGACATGAAGGCTGAGAGACTAGAAGCCGTAGGTCTTTAGGACTGTGTATATGAGCTTTGTCTTAGTCCTGACCACCTCTGTTGTCTCCTATCTCTTTCCAGGAGTCATTGCTCCAGTGGAAGGAACTGCATTCGACCTGAGAAAGCCAGTGGAGCTTGGAAAACACCTGCAAGATTTTCACATCCCTGGTTTCGACCACAACTTCTGTCTGAAGGGATCCAAAGAAAAGCATTTTTGTGCCAGGTTTGTCCTTTCCGCCTCTGCAGAGAAGAAACAGCGGGTTCTTATGAGGAGCATTCCCTAGGACAGTTTCCACAGCACCTCATAGGAGCAGGGGTCAAACGCCACCTGCCATAGCTTTGTTTTTTTTTTTTTAAGATTTATTTATTTAATTATTATGTATACAACATTCTGCCTCCATATATGCCTACAGGCCAGAAGAGGGCACCAGATCTCATTACAGATGGTTGTGAGCCACCATGTGGGTGCTGGGAATTGAACTCAAGATCTCTGGAAGAGCAGCCAGTGCTCTTAACCTCTGAGCCATCTCTCCAGCCCTGCCATAGCTTTGTAAAGTCCTCTGCCACGAGTGAATTCTCTAGAACGTAGCCTCCCCAACTGTGCATCCTCCCTGACCCCCTACCCAGCATCCTCTGTGGTCCTCTACCCCTGCCTGACCTATAAGCCCCTTTTCTGTCAGAGACCCTGATTCTCCTGTGCCTTCACTGACTGTCCTAGTCTGTGGGACAGAGCTGGAGGCCACGCTTCTCTTGCAGCTCCTACCACGCCCACCTCCTGGTTGAGAGACAAGTGAGGGCACACGCTCTGTCAACGTGAATCCAGTCCTTAGGGTCATTTTGTTTGGGAATGCTGACAACCTAATAACATGCTTGGCACAAACAACTAGTCAGCTTGTGATTGTGGACTCAAAGGAGTCTAGGGGGGAAGGTAACTCAGACCCCAGATAGAGACAAAAAGGACTCCCCAAATCTCGAGGCGGCCTCTTGGGTTCTGCCTGCTCAGGCTCAGGACATCTTCCTACTACATACCTATTCTGTTCCACTCCTTAGTGCCTCTACGCAAAGAGCCCTTCCTGCCTTCTCCCCATTGATTCAAATCCTGGACCCTTCTTGTCAAACATTTTTTTTTCCAGCCTCTTGGTTGACAATGTATTTGTATTTTGCATTTAAATTATTTTTTTTTTTAATATTCTGTCTGTGTGTATGTCTGCAGGCCAGAAGAGGGTACTAGAACTCATTACAGATGGTTGTGAGCCACCATGTGGTTGCCGGGAATTGAACTCAGGACCTTTGGAAGAGCAGGCAATGCTCTTAACCACTGAGCCATCTCTCCAGCCCCTTAAATTATTTTTTGACCAACTTTGTCCTGATGCATTTAAATGTTTTAAATTCTATTATTATTAGTATGCGCTGGGGCGGGGGATGGGGAGAGGAGGGGGTATCTTTCTGAAGTTGACTCTCTGTTGAAGCCCGTGTGGGTCCAACACAGATAATTATCTTCCCTAACTGGACTGAAACGGAGTCGTGAGGAATAATCAGACACAACTTACACGGTCGTCATGGAAGGGCAAGATCTCTCGAAGATGTCCTCCTGTTTATTATCCAAACACCTTATGTATCATCACATATAAATTGAGCAGGAAAACACATTAGGCTGTCTCCTAGGCAACCAGGTGAATGGGCTTTAGTCATGTCCGCGTGTAGGCCATAAATTAGCATCTCTATAAGACATCCTCCAAACATCCTGACCATTGTTAGGCAGAGAGAGCTTGTCTGCAGCGCTATGTGATCAGCTCAGACCAGGACTATGGCTTTTATACCTGGCTGCTACACCATACCGAAATATGGGCCTACAGCTCTCAGGGTCAAGCTTGTACAAGAAGCGCCAGCACACCAGCATTCTTTGTTTGAATGAGTTCTTGTATGATTTGCCTCCTGGCAAGACTGTGTGACACAGGCCTTTCCTTGTTTCCCCTTGGCAAGAAGTACAGACCCAGACCAGGTGATGGGAGGCAGAGACAAGCAGGTCTCTGTGAGTTCGAAACCAGCCTGGTCTACAGAGTGAGTTCCAGGACAGCCAGGGCATTGACACTGAAAAACTGTCTCAAAAATAAATAAATAAATAAATAAATAAACAAACAAACAAACAAATCTTTCAGAGCCCCATGGCCGGACATGGGAGCACAAACCTTTAATCCCCAGCATTCCAGAAGGAGAGGCAGGTGGAGTTCATGAGTTCCAGTGCAGCCGGCCCACACCCTTAGGAGTATATCTCAGTAGTGTGGCGGAGTACTCACCAGCGAGTACAAGGTCCTGGGTGCTGTCTCCAGCATCACAACAGAATCTCAGGACCCCAGAGTTGCCTCTCTCCAGCCTCATTGCTCCTCCCTGACTCCCATGATGCTGCCGTCATCCTATTACTATGCCCCAGAGAGACCAAGATCATCTGCGAAGCTGTTTCTGAAAGCCAACAGCTCATGCCTCCCCTGTGATGTTTCCAGAATCTTCGCTCTTCTCTCCCGCATCCTTCTTGCTCCCGTTGTGTAGCCAGATCTGATTCCCATCCCAAAGCTAGTTCTGGGCCTTTTCCTTCCCCACTGAAATATGGCTTGTCTTTATCCCCAGGGTGCGTCATGCCAGAAGTGGGCGGATCCTGGAAGTATACACCACCCAGCCTGGTGTCCAGTTTTACACTGCCAACTTCCTGGATGGCACTCTGAGGGGCAAGAATGGAGCAGTCTACCCCAAGCACTCTGGCTTCTGCCTGGAGACCCAGAACTGGCCTGATGCGGTCAATCAGGTAAAGCCGCAGGCTGGTTTGTCAGGGTCGTGCTGATCTGGTGTCACACAGTGTGGCAGATCCCAGCACTCAAGTCCACGTTTCTGTTTTTCATTTTATACAACCACAAAAAAGCCCACAGCCAAGGAACTGTCGTTGAAAGCTCAATTTTTGACTGGGCAGTGATGGTGTTCACCTTTAATCCCAGCACTTGGGGAGGCAGAGGCAGACGAATCTCTGTGAGTTTGAGGCCAGCCTGGTCTACAGAGTGAGTTCCTAGATAGAGAAACCCTGTCTCGAAAAACTAAAAACAAAAACAAACAAACAAACAAAAATCTGCACTTTCTGGGGGAGGGGTGTTTGGACAGGCTCGTGCCATGAAGGTCAGAGGACGACTTTTAGGGGTCAGTTCTCTTCCTCCGTGTGGGCTCCAGTGGTAAGACTCAGGTTGTCAGCCTTGGCCTCAAGCTCCTTTACCCACTGAACCATCTTGCCAGCCCACACCATCTACGAGACCTCCAAAGCCTTTCTTCTCATTTCCTCTCTACTTGCTACTTAGAGCACTGCTGCTCAGACTGTCAGTCATGGGAAGGAGCTTGTGTCTTACTTCAGAATATATGTCAAGGCATTGCTTCCTGTAGCCAGATTGTGCTTTGACAAAGTAGACGTGGTGCTGAGGTAAATCTTCATTCATTTCACTGCAAATCAGCAACACTCTGTCCTCACTGGCACCAGTCCACAAACGTGGCTTCAGGGCTTAGTGCAGGGGCACACCCCATGTGACTGTTGGTACGGCCATGATGGCTGGCCAGGTCTAAGTGTTGATTTCCTCCACAGCCCCAGTTCCCCCCTGTGCTGCTGCGTCCTGGGGAGGAGTACAACCACACCACCTGCTTCAAGTTCTCTGTTGCTTAAAGAAGGCTGAAGATGCCACCCGGTCCCTCCCATCCCGGTGAAGACAGAGAAGCATTAAAAGTGATCCTGCGTGTTAAGTCGCTACCATAATAGCTTGAATACTGATTTCCTTTTCCAACAGCTGGCTTCAGGCCATGTCTCATGACCAGCTGTGTTCTCTGTCTAGGTCAGAGGACAAATTAACTCTTGCTACTAGTGCCTTCCTCTAAGGCCTGACCTTAGTGGAAAGGTGGCCCTCTAGACTCTAATAGATTCCATCTCTCCAGCTGTTGTCTTTAAGCCTTCCTTTCTTTGATGGAGCTCTTTGTTTTTCTGTCTCCTCTTTTACCCCAGACTACCCTCCAGAAGTTAGTAAAACAGTTTTAACCCCAACTTGAGTTCAAGCTATGAGAATTCATCTCCTTTCTGCCTCTCTCTACCTCAGTCTGCCTAAACATTCCTAGGGTCAATGAAGGGCAAGGAGGGGTTTGGAGCCTGCTCTGTCACAGCCTTTCGTCTCAGACTTACTTTAGGGGCGTCAGGGGTGACTCAGCAGTGAAGAACACACACTGCTCCTGCAGAGGACCAGTTTAGCTCCCAGCACCCAGATCAGGCTCACAGTGGCCTCTAACTCTAGCTCCAGGGGATCGGGTGCCCTCTTCCAGCCTGCACGAGTACTCACACTCAGGTGCATGCGCCCACACACCCACAAACACACAATTCAAAGGGAGTCTTTTTTCTTCTTCTTAAGTGAGGAGTTTATTGAGAGTAGGTTAAAGGGGAGGGAAGAGAGAAAAAGAGACAGAGAGGAAGAGGAGGAAGGACTAGCCTACCTCTTCAAAAGAGCAGCGCGAAAAGAGTAAATGTAAATCTTAGAGATTAAAAAAGATTCACTTTAGGGCTGGAGAGATGGCTCAGTGGTTAAGAGCATTGCCTGCTCTTCCAAAGGTCCTGAGTTCAATTCCCGGCAACCACATGGTGGCTTACAACCATCTGTAAAGAGGTCTGGCGCCCTCTTCTGGCCTTCAGGCATACACACAGACTATTGTATACATAATAAATAAATTATAAAAAAATTAAAATGTTGTAATATCACTTTAAAAAAAAAAAGATTCACTTTAGAACCACTAGAGCGAGTTGAGCTATCTTTCTATGGTGTGACTGAAATCGTAAGATCCAAATATCCAGAAGGGTTTAGATTTTCTGCCTTTGGGGTTAACTAGAAGCCCAGCTAGTGTGTGAGAAGATACACAGGCCTGGAGGGCAGCAGATGAGGGAGAACACCTCACACTAACAGTGCCTGGAGGATTAAACTTGGCACGAGGAGCAGAGGCGACGTAGAGATGAAATGGCTGGAGACTCCTCTTTTCCTCAACGATTGCATCATCGTTGATGGGCTTAGGAGCGCTGATTCTGAAAAAAAAAAAAAATATATATATATATATATATATATATATATATAGTTTATGTTATTATCTGCTACAGGCAGTTGAAATAAAACCAGAATTTCACCTTCAGGAGACTCTTATTCATGTGTGTGTGTGTGCATGCATGCATCTGTGCATGCATGTGTTGTGCGTGCGTGTGTATACACATGTTTGTACACTCCTGTGTGGAGGCTAAGGAGAATTTGGAACATCTTCATGTTCCCTCTCCATCCATTCCCTTGAGTCATTCCTCTCCCTGACCCTGAGCTCACTGTTTTTCAGCTTGGCTGGCTGCCAGAAAGCCTTGTCTGTCCTCACAGGTTACAGGTGTGCATGACCGTACCCAGCCTCGTTATGTGGGTGCTTGTGGTCCACTTGGGTGCCCATGCAGGCACCTCAAGCAACTGAGCCATGTTCCCAGCCTTCATCCTCTCACCTGTGGTACAAAGGGACAAGATCTGCAGGGAAGACCTAAAGTCGAGAGAGGAATCAAGTTCTTTTTTTTTCCGGCCTGGGACCCTCCAAGGATTGTGGAGCATGAGGAAGGGATGGACAGCAAATGCTCAAGTGGACCAGAGCCCTAAGGAACAAAAACTAGGAGCCCAGAGCTGTGGCCTTGTTCCTCTTCTGCACTGCACTTGAACAGACACAAGCCGAACACATCATTGCTCAGAGCTCCTACTTCAAATTAAGCAAAACTGCCTCCCAGGTGTGCCCTCCCTACGGGTTTAGTTCATTCCAGGTATAGTCGAGTTGCCAGCTGAGGGCGGCATCACAGGCAGTAAAGAATCCCAGGAGAGCCTGGTGATGGTGGCGCACGCCTTTAATCCCAGCACTCGGGAGGCAGAGGCAGGCGGATCTCTGTGAGTTCGAGACCAGCCTGGTCTACAAGAGCTAGTTCCAGGACAGGCTCCAAAGCCACAGAGAAACCCTATCTCGAAAAAACCAAAAAAAAGAATCCCAGGAGAGGTTGAGCTGCCTGAGAGATGCCTTGCACCTGCGATTTGAATCTATGTGGTCAGCAGAATAAGGGCGGGTATGGGGCTCCATTGGTAGGGTGCTTGCTTTGCACGCACGGGGATTGGAGTGGGGCTTTAATAGCTTTGCTGAGCCCCACGGTGGGACATGAGCTTTAAAAGGTAGGAGGCTCTGGTGAACCTAGGTGACTCAGAGTGGCGTTATAAATCAGATTCATACAGTGCTAGAACAATCACAAGGAGAGAGGGGAGAAAAGAAGCAAGCAATGTCAGGGTCACCTGAACGCAAAATGTGGCAACATTTGTGTAGGGCTACAGAAGAAAAAAAAAATGACAGCTCAGTTCAGTGAAAGCCTGAGAACCATTCATGCAGGGAAGAGAACACAAATGAAAAAGGCAAAGTTTATCCCAGGGATGGGATGGGCGGTTACCCATCCCTCCAGAATAACCTGTGCACTTTTCTCTCCTGCAAGACCGTGTACCGAAGATGGAAATAATTATACATTAAGGCCAAGGCATGTCTGATAGAGGCAGCAGACCTAGCCACCAGCTAAGAGCCCATCAGTGCTGGGGAGCCACATTAAGCGGCAAACAGGACTTGCGTCTGTGCCAGCCCCCACTGAATCTTCTCGAGGAGAGAAGCTGCGTGACAGCCTCACGGCAGTTCCCAAGATAAGGCAGGCAGCTCATGGAGCATGACTAGATAGTATAATGTTAAACAAGGTGGGGCTTCCCATTTATACCCCTGTACCCCACATTCACCTCTTGAGAAAAAAAACTGCTAGACTATTACGTGTGAGGGCCCGAGTTTGAATCTCTAGGATTCCCAGAATGCCCCGTGCAGTAGTACGCCCCTGTAATCCCAGTACAGAATCCCCAGAAGCTTGTGAGTCAGCTAGCCTGGTGCGTGCAGCACCAAAGAGTTTGTCTCAAACAAGGCCATAGGAGAGCTGCCCTGGGACCCCCGCGTGTGCTTGTACACACACACACACACACACACACACACACACATCAGCATAACAATCATAAAAATCTGTAGTACCTAACAACAAAGCCTTTGGATGCTTTGATTCAATAATCACGGCTAGAGGCGTGAGTCGCCTTAGTACTGGGTCTAACTTAACAGTTTTCCTGTGATACACTGCTTCAGAGTTCCTGAAAGAGAACGTTTAGGTTTTTTGTTTTTTTTTTTTTTCAGTTTATTATTTCTTTTAGCACAGTGACCTCTACTGGTTACAGATGTAAATTAACACATGGTTTCTGCTGTTTCATAGACTGGTGCTTGGGCTAGAGAAATCTAAGTCAGCCCCTTAGCTTCTCTGTGTTCCACCAGGCTAATATGGGTTCCCAGTTAGGAAATAGAGGAGAGGCTCAGGGCAGTAGCTTTCAGTTGTTAATATAACTGAGAGGCTTTTGCACTAACCCATTGGGTTTTAAGGAAGAATCTTTGCAAGGTCCCTAAATGATCCAATTGCCCTACCAGTTTTCCTTACGCGTCTCGGTGTGGTCACCAGTATTGCAGATACCAAGTATGCAATGTGTTTGCTCCCTAATTCACAAGCACTGTCTTCATGAGTAAGCCACAGACAACAGTCTTCCAGTGCAGAAGCATTATCTTGTTGTTCTGGTCAGGGTCACTACTGCTGTGATGAAACACCATGAGCTAAAGCAACTCAAAGAGGAAAAGGTTTGTTTGGCTCATGCTTCATCACCACTGCTCATCATGGAAGAAGATAGGACAGGGACTCAAGCACAGCAGGAACCTGGGGACAGGAGCTGGTGGAGGCGCCATGGAGGATGCTGCTTACCCTTGCTCTCTCTATGGCTTGTTCAGGCTGCTTTCTTTCTTTAATTAAAATGGTTTATTTACTTTACATCCTGACTGCAGTTTCTCCTCCCATTCCTTCCCTTTACCTTTCCTCTGCCCTGCCTTCCCAATCCACCCCTCCTCCACCTCTGTTTAGAAAGGGGCAGGCCTCCCATGGGTGCCAACAAAGCATAGCATATGAAGTTGAGGTAGGACTAAGCTTCTCCCTTCGTTTTAAGGTTGGGCAAGGCAACCCCGCATTAGGAACAGGTTTCCAAGAGTCAGCCGAAGCGTTGGGAACAGGGCCCACTCCCACAGGTAGGACAAGCCACACAACCGTAACATACATGCAGAGGGCCTAGGCCTGTCCCACACGGGCTCCCTAGATGTTGGTCCATAGTCTGTGAGCGCCCATGAGCAGATTATGATGATCCTGACCCCCCTCTGGCTCGTACAATCCTTCCTCCCTCTCCTCAAGGTTCCCTGGGCTGGTCCCAGTGCTTGGTTGTAGATCTATCTCTACATCTGTTTCCGTCAGTTACTGGATAAAGGCTCTCTGATGACTATTGGGGTAGTTACCAATCTGACTACAGGAGATGGCCCGTTTACAGTCTACTTTCTTACAGAACCCAGGGATGGCACTACCCACAGTGTTTTGCGCCTGCCCACCTCTGTCACTCACTAAGAAAATGCCCTATAGGCTTCCCTGCAGCCAAATCTTGAGGCATTTTCTCCGTCGAGGCTCCCTTCTCTCTTACGGCCCTGGCTTGGGTCAGACTGACATGAAACCGACCAGTACACAAGGGAAACTGGCAGTGGCAACTCTACCAACGATCCTGGCACTCTACCTCTTCACAGATACTCGTTTATAATCTGGAAAGTCGTAAATGTCTAAAGCGGGGGTTGACAAATACTCTGTTAAATCAACACGAGTTGATTTATGTGGTAATGGCCCAGCCCTGCCACTTCAGCACAAAGTCACGGGCAGGCATAACAGTGATCTCATGTAACTGGATCATCTTTTAAGTCATAGACAGTTGGTAAATGAGACCATGAGTATATTCCAATAGACCTTTAAGGATTTTACAGTTTGAATTTCACTAATCTGTCACAAACATTGACACTTCCGAGTGTTCAACCTCTTCAAACTGTTAAACTTTCTACAAATCGGAAACAGGCTGA